GTGTGAGTGTGTGTGTGTGTGTGTGTGTGTGCGCGTTTTTGTGACATATGAGGACACAAATTTGTATAATGACAAAGGTATGACAGGTATTACAAGGAGAAGGTACTTTTCAGGACATTGCCCCATGTCCCCACTGGGATGTCGCCACAATTCACAAAAACAAACGTGTGTGTGTGTGTGTGTGTGTGTGTGTGTGTGTGTGTGTTACAATTACAGTGTGTGTGTTTATATATGTGTGTGTTCAAGTTCAAGTTCAGTTTTATTTCTAGAGTATGTTTAAGCACGGAACAAGGCCGACCAAAAGTGCTGCACAACAAACAGTAAAAATACAACAAAGAGAGAAAAATCTGTAAACAAAAATAAAACCATACAAGAGCCACACATTGCTACATATTAAAAGCCAATGAGAAGAGGTGGGTTTTAAGATAGGATTTATAGACAAGTAGCAAGATTTTAAACTCAATTCAAGAGAGTGAATTGGCAGCCAATGCAATGATCTCAAGAAGGGAGTAACATGATCTAACTTTTTACATCCCTTCAGGAATCTAGCTGCTGCATTTTGGACTACTTGTACCTGAGAGAATTGGGACTTTGATATACCAAAACAGAGGGAACTTTCAGAGAGAAATGGCTTGGTTTTAGAAAGAGAAAGAAGATGGAAGAAGCTAGAACCTACTACAGCAATAATTTGTTTATCAAATTTCAAGGAGTTATCAAACTCTACTCCCAAATGTCAGAACTTCAGGAGAATTTAAGGAATTTAGGGTCTCGAGGTTGAGTTGATTACTTGTCCTATGCTCTGAGGCCCTGAAGACAATAACTTCGGTTTTATCTTTATTCAAGAAAATAAAAATTTTGGGGAGCCATGATCTGACATCATCAAGACATGCAGATAAAGTATCAATGGCACACTTTGTATTCTTAGCCAAAGGCAAGTAAATTTGCATATCATCGGCGTAACAGTGAAAAGAGATGCCATGTTTCCTAAAGACAGAGCCCAGAGAAAGAAGATAAAGAGAGAAGAGAGCAGGACCTAAGACAGAACCCTGAGGAACCCCGTAGGTTAAGTTGCCTGAGGACAAGATAAAGCTTCTGTTTTTACAGAGAATCTCCTATTTAAAAAAAAAAGATGTGTGTGTGTGTTGCGGTGGTCACCTTGTCCTCCGGCAGTGTTGCGATCAGCAGGTCTGGAAAGGCATCTCCCTGTAGATCCGGCAGCAGAACAGCGTGAGACTCCACGTCTCCTACAGCCATCGTCCACAACGTCCATCCTGAAACAGCAGCCATCAGCACACACACACATGCACGCGTGCGTTCAGCTGAGTGAGTGAGTGAGTGAGTGAGTGTATGAGAGACCTGTGGAGGCGTTGATGGCGATCATGTGACCGGAGCTGATCAGGATGCAGGCAGACGAGTGCAGTGGATCTGAACTTCCTGTCTGCAGTCCACACTGAACAGAGATCAGCGGCTCTCTGAGCGACTTCCTCCAGAGCAGCTGCCCTCCGCCGCCGCCGAGAGCCCACACGCTGAACTCTAAACACACACACACACACACACAGAGAGAGAGATTAAACACAAACACACACACACACACAGATTAAACACACACTCATTTTAAAACAAACACACACACACACACACACTCAGAGATGAAACACACACACACACAGATTAAACACACAGACACACTCATATTATACACACACACATGCACACACACACACGGAGCCAAAACTCTGCTGATGAACTACTGCAGTGCAAGGAGGGACTTTACATCTGCAGTCACTGTTACAATTACCTTTATAGTTATTGTTACAGTTATAATTATAGTTAGTTATTAATATAGTTATTGTTACAGCTATCGTTATTTATTGTTAGAGTTACTGTTATTGTTACATTTATAGTTATTGTAACAGTTATAGTTATTGTTAGTTATCAATATAGTTATTGTTACAGTTACTGTTATAGTTATTATTATTTATTGTTACAGTTACTGTTATTGTTACAGTTATAGTCATTGTTAGTTATCATTCTAGTTATTGTTACAGTTATCCCTATTGCTACAGTTATAGTTATTGTTACAATTACTGTTATTGTTAGTTATCATTCTAGTTATTGTTACAGTCATCATTACAGATATTGTTACAGTTACTGGTATTGTTACAGTTATAGTTAGTTATCAATAGTTATTGCTAGTTATCGTTACAGTTAATGTTATAGTCATTGTTAGTTATGGTTAAAGTTATAATTTTTTTCTTGTTACAGTTACTGTTATTGTTACACATTAGTTACTGTTACAGTTATCGTTAAAGTTAATGATATAGTCATTGTTAGTTATTGTTACAGTTATCTTTTTTCTTGTTACAGTTACTGTTACAGTTATAGTTATTGTTACACATTAGTTACTGTTACAGTTATCGTTAAAGTTAATGATATAGTCATTGTTAGTTATTGTTACAGTTATCTTTTTTCTTGTTACAGTTACTGTTACAGTTATAGTTATTGTTACACATTAGTTACTGTTACAGTTATCGTTAAAGTTAATGATATAGTCATTGTTAGTTATTGTTACAGTTATCTTTTTTCTTGTTACAGTTACTGTTACAGTTATAGTTATTGTTACACATTAGTTACTGTTACAGTTATCGTTAAAGTTAATGTTATTGCCATTGTTAGTTATTGTTACAGTTATCATTATTTCTTGTTACAGTTATCGTTATTGTTTCACATTAGTTACTGTTACAGTTATCGTTATTGTTACACAGTTACTTTTACAGTTATCGTTAAAGTTAATGTTATAGTCATTGTTAGTTATTGTTACAAATATCATTATTTCTTGTTACAGTTATTGTTACAGTTATCGTTAAAGTTAATGTTATAGTCATTGTTATAGTTATCATTATTTCTTGTTACAGTTACTGTACATTTTAAGTCATTTTTAGTTATCATTACAGTTACTGTTACAGTTATCATTATTGTTTTCATTATATTCATTGTTAGTTATTTTTAATTATTTTTTGTTACAATTATCTTTAAAGTTATCATTACTGTTACTGTTACAGTTATCACTATAGTTATTGTTACAGTTATAGCTAGTTATTGTTAGTTATCATTATAGTTATTGTTACAGGTATTGTTAGTTATCATTACAGTTATCATTCTTTTTTTTACAAATATCTTTAAAGTTACTTTTACAATCATCATTACAGTTATAGTCACTTATTTTTTGTTGCAGTTATCTTCAAAGTTATCATTATAGTTCTTGTTACAGTTACCATTATAGTTGTTACAGTTAACACTATGGTTATCGTTACAGTTGTTGTTATAGTCATAATTGAACGGGTTGCAGTCGTATTAACTCTTGCACTGGATTGAACAGTTTTTGCGTTTGCAGTGCTTTGATTCGCTCACCTTTGCTCTGTGCGTTCATTGGCTGACTGTCGTTGGAGAAGTTCGTAATGCCAATCAAAACATCCTCCAGTCCGTCCCCATCCACATCCCACAATGCAATGGGAGGTGACGTCACGCCTGTGAGGAAGAGCACATGTTGGCACTGCAGGTTTATTTCAGGGGTTATGCGGTGAGCGTCACTCACCCGCTGTGTCTCCGAGCTCTCTCTCCCACTGCGTCTGGAGCGGCGCCCCCTGTGGGCAGGGAATGAGAAACGCACACAGCAGCACCAGCAGAGCGGCGCAGGACAGCGGCAGCAGGAACGCCGCGGATCGCATCGCCCCTCGCACCCGCGCCGCCTTCTCCTCTGCGGCTCCGCCCTGACTCCGCCCAGACCCCACCTCATGCCCCGCCCCCTCCCTTGGCTCCTCCTCCTCATCCAACTCCTCCTCGCCCCCCAGATCAGCCACCGCAGGGTTCAGACCGTTACGAGGATAATTCAGAACCAGATCATCGTCCTCCATCTCATCCTCGCTGTCAGCCTGTGTCAGCGGGTCATACTCGCCCAGATCCGAGCCCTTCTTACCTACACACACACACACACATCAACAAACTCAGCATCACATGATCATTGTGCAGGTAAAGTTAGTTATTGTTAGTTATCATTACAGTTACTGTTACAGTTATTGCTATAGTAATTGTTACAGTTACTAGTCATTGTTAGTTATCGTTAGTTATCACTAAAGCTCTCATTTGTTTGTTACAGTTATCGGTTACACTTTAATTTAAGGTGTCTTTGTTACAGGTTACATGTATTTAGTATTATAACAACAATAACTATGTAGTTAATTAATATTACTCAGTACTTATATGTACAATTACACCGTAACAAAGACACCTTAAAATAAAGTGTAACCCAGTTATCTTTCAAGTTATTATTACTGTTACAGTTATTGTTAGTTATCACTATAGTTATTGTTACAGTTACCGTTAGTTATTGTTACAGTTACAGCTTGTTATTGTTACCGTTATCATTATAGTTGTTACAGTTATTGTTATCATTAGTTACTGTTACAGTTATTATTAGAGTTACTGTTACAGTTATTGTTAGTTATCAATATAGTTATTGTTACAGTTACTGCTTGTTATTGTTGGTTATCATTATAGTTATTGTTAGTTATCATTATTTATTGTTACAGTTACTGTTACAGTTATTGTTATCATTAGTTACTGTTACATTTATTGTTATCATTACAGTTACTGTTACAGTCATTGTTAGTTATCATTACAGTTACAGTTGTTGTTAGTTATCATTATTTATTGTTACAGTTACTGTTATTGTTATAGTCATTGTTAGTTATCATTACAGTTACTGTTACAGTTATTGTTAAAGTTAGTTAGTTATCATTATAGTCATTGTCAGTTATCACTTAAGTTCTCTTTTTTTTTTACAGTTACCAGTAACACTTTATTTTAAGGTGTCCTTGTTACACATTCTACATGTACTAATATTATAATAACAATAAATTGTGCATAATTACATGCAAGTAACCCTAACCCTAACCATACAGTAAGTACATGTAGTTAATTAATATTACTCAGTACTTATGTGTATAATTACAATGTAACAAAGACACCTTAAAATAAAGCGTAACCCAGTTATCTTCCAAGTTATTGTTACTGTTACAGTTACCGTTAGTTATCATTACAGTTAATGTTACAGTTATCGCTATAGTAATTGTTACAGTTACTGTTATCATTATAGTTACTGTTACAGTTATTGTTATCATTATAGTTACTGTTACAGTTATTTTTATCATTACAGTTATTGTTATCATTATAGTTACTGTTACAGTTATTGTTATCATTATAGTTACTGTTACAGTTATTGTTATCATTATAGTTACTGTTACAGTTATTGTTAGTTATCATTATTTATTGTTACAGTTACTGTTATTGTTATAGTCATTGTTAGTTATCATTACAGTTGCTGTTACAGTTATTGTTATCATTACAGTTACTGTTACAGTTATTGCAAGTTATCATTATAGTTATTGTTACAGTTATTGTTATCATTATTTATTGCTGCAGTTGCTGTTACAGCTATTGTTAGTTATCATCATTATTGTTACAGTTATTGTTAGTTACCATTACAGTTCTCTTTTTTGTTAGTTACCAATAACAAGACACCTTAAAATAACTTTATTTTAAGGTGTCCTTGTTACACATTCTATATGTACTAATATTATAATAATACATTATGTATAATTACATGCAAGTAACCCTAACCCTAACCCTAACCATACAGTAAGTACATGTAGTTAATTAATATTACTGAGTACTTAAACGTACAATTACAATGTAACAAAGACACCTTAAAATAAAGTGTAACCCAGTTATCTTTCAAGATATTGTTACTGTTACAGTTATTGTTAGTTATCACTATAGTTATTGTTACAGTTACTGTTATTGTTATAGTCATTTATTGTTATCATTATAGTTACTGTTACAGTTATTGTTATCATTATAGTTACTGTTACAGTTATTGTTATCATTACAGTTACTGTTACAGTTATTGTTAGTTATCATTACAGTTATTGTTACAGTTATTAAAATGATCTTCACAGTTAACTTGTGGTCGTATTAACTTCAATAGCTTTTCCATGTGATTATTGTGTAGCATGTTTATTGAGCAGGTAAAGATTCAGCTGATGTTCCCAGAACAAACATGTCATTTAATTTCAGTTATTCAGTCATTAAACTTAAGAGTTTTATTGATTTTTTATTTTTTACGAATAAGTTCGTAAGAAAAATACAATAAATAAATACCACCCAAGGTCACGTGACCTTTCCGTTTACCATGGTACTGTATTGTCTCTGCACTGATGTACCATGGTATCCTCGCGTTTGTCTGACGCTCGATTAAATATCTGGTTATTAGGATCAATCAGTCGGATCGTGCAGAAGCTAAACGCATCATAACAGCGTTATAACGGAACGACGCAGCGGCTGATAAGCGCATCACTGGCGTCACCGAACACGAGCCGCCGCGAGCTAATATCAGCCGCTCATTTCACCGTTTATTCTCTATTAGTGAGTGACTCACCCGGTAATTTCAGAGCACGGGACAGAGACGCAGCCATTGCGCGCGATGTTATCAGCGACGCGACGCGACGCGCTGCCGCCGCTACAGCGCTGGAGAGGTGCATCATGGGAAATGTAGTCTCCGATGTAGGCAGCGTGAATCAAAGTAACACGCAAAAGAATAGTTAAAAACACATTTTAAGGAGTTTTTATCCGCTGCCTTGAATACATATTCTCGTGTTAATGTCATATTTCAATAGGTTAAATCGCAAATGAAAACATTGCTTTCAAAAGTTATTGAGCAGTAAGATTTGTAATGTTTTTTAAAGAATTCTCTTCTGCTCTTCCGCATTTATTTGATCCAAAGTACAGCAAAAGCAGTAATATTGTGAAAGAGTCTGAATCATTTATTACTATTATTATTTTTTCGTGTGTGTGAAAAAATTGTAGAAGTTAGCAAGGATGCTTTAAATGGATCAAAAGTGATGAAAAATACATTTATAATGTTGCAAAAGATTTCTATTTCAGATTAATGCTGCTCTTTATTAAAGGCGAGCCATTCTCTTAATCGCTATAGACCAATTATTATGGCAAGCCGTTTTGACTTTTATTCATTCTCAGGATATGAATTCTTGATATCAACAATTACATTGCCACTAGTTAAAATGTTAATTTCTGATATCATGAATGTGATTGTCACTAGTAAGAATCCAATTTTAGATATCACAAATGCATTTTCAGATATCAGAAATAACAAATGTAACATGTTGGAATACATTTACTGATATCAAGAATTCATTTTTACTAGTGACAAAGTAATTATTGATATCAACAAAGGCAGCTGATATCTGAAATTTCCCTTGCAACTAGTGAAAATAGAATTACTGATATCTTAAATAACATTGTAACTAGTAAAAGTACTTTTACAGATATGTAGAAATGCCATTTTTACAGGTAAGAATAGCTATGGTAATGAGATCATGAATATTAATGAGATCTGGTTTCCACAATCCTCGGAAGAACATCCATGCGCAGAAACGGCTCCTCCTTTATTTATTTGTGTTGTCAGTGAAACATGAAAATTATATTATGGCTGGATTTTTTTTTTTTTTATTGTTAAAAAAAAAAGTTATTTTATGCTGTTTCTTTTTATTGGCCACCAAGTCCTTCGGATAATTAAAGGACAAATGAACGAGGCATTAATTTAGCGTTAACATAAAAAATAACTTCATGTCGTTTTTTCATGTGTTTACTTTCTTCTAATACATCAAATAACAAATACAAAAACATAACAGATAATAATGCGTCATGCAAACGTTTTACTGGACTTCTGTTGTTGTAATATCGTTGTATTTAGGCTACATGAATGAGTCGTGTCCGAATAGGCGTTATTTTTATATAACATGTCGTCCAGTTCTTGAAGTATCGGTGGACAGGATGAATGATAAAGTTGTGTGGACAGCGATTTAATAAGAATTGGTTTCATCCTCAGAGAGACCATTCGATACATTATATGATATATATATGATTATTAGATACATTAGAATAAAAACTCGTCTGCTGCGAGCGCTTCGAGTCACTGAGTCATTCAGCGAAACTGATCCGAATCTTCTAAAAGACTCGTTCTGTAGTCCGTCAGTAGCGTCTCGGTCTGTTTTGTCTTTAACTCGTTCAGGTGTTTCGGGGCAGATCCTGGCTCTGCTCGGCATCTCACTAAGTAGGTAAGTCACCTCGCAGACGGACCTGTACCCGTTCAAAAATTCCTCTCGCGAGTTTGAGCGAGGACACGGGCGTCACCCCGCGTCGTTATTTTCCTTACTCATCAGTTTAAGGCATGAAGCGTTGTGTGCTGCGCTCGCGCTGCTCTTCCCGCGCGCCCTGCTGCTCCGCGACGGTGAGGAGCGAGCGATAAACGCGCAGTGCGCCTGCGGGCCACCGATGACACCCGGCACTCCTCCTCACACACACACACACACACACACACACACACACACACCACACGAGTGCACTTAATATGTACGGAGCGAGAAAAAGCCTCGTTTGTGGCTCGAGCGCGGTCTTCTGCCGGTGCATTGTGGGATAGGCCGTGACGTCACCGCGTCTCGCTTTCTGGAGGCGGAGCTTAGCGCCTCTTGTCTTTAGTTTGTTCCTTTGACGCTGTTATGATAGTTTAACACACTGTGTGATCCTCTATATATGCAAGTTGTGTTGAGCTCATGTAAAAACATGATAGTTTTGCGTCACGTTCATTACTATAAAGAATGTAAAAGTGATACAAAACTTAATAGTTGCAGAGGTACTTTGAAAATAGTTCAAATGTTTGTTATAAAAGTACATTTTAAGTAATAATGTAGAATGTGTAAGGGATACATGAAGAAATTAGAATTAGAAATTGCTATAATCCATGCAAAGAAATAAGTAATACTGTATCAGAAGAAGTGCACGGGGTAAAATTATTATATGTGGGGATTTTAATGCACACAATGGTTTATGGGGTAGTAAACATACAGACAATAATGGGATAGTTATAGAAGAGCACTTGCTTGCATGTTTGAATGATGGGAAACCAACAAGAACGGATATAATAATTAAAGGTGCATGTCATGTTTAGATCTCACAATAACATCAGATGCCTTAGTAAGTGTACTTGGAGTGTACGTGAAGATAAGTTAATAATTATAAACAGATCCCTGTAATTGAAGAGGAAGGGAAAATAGCCAGAACGAATAAAGAAAAGACAGACGTCTTAGCCAAAACTTGAAAACTTGAGTGATAAGTTCTTAAAAAGAAGACAAGAACTAAGTAGAATACATGAGGATGTTCGTATGAAAAAACAAGGAGTTGGTAGTAATATGGATGAGGATTTTAATTCCTTTGATGCTGTTATAATAGTTTAACAGTGTGTGATCCTCTATATATGCTTGTTGTGTTGAGCTCATGTAAAAAAATAATCGTTTTTCGTCACATTCATCAATATAATTAAAAAACTCACCATTAATGGACTTATATAATCATAAATGGAATGAAGGCGCCTTACCCAAAGATTGGAAAAGTGCAATAGTGATACCAGTAGTGAAGCCAGGTAAAGATGCATCAAAATCTAATAGTTATAAGCCAATTATGCAAGGTAATGGAGAACATGATAGTAAGAAGCTTGAATGATCTTTCGGAGAAAAGAGAAATATTATCATCAGCTCAGAGTGGTTTCAGGAAGAAGAGATCTACAGTGCTCTGATATTACTTGAAAATGATGTTAAAAAAGCTCTAGTAATGAAATAATTTATTGTTGCTGTTTTCTTTGACATTGAAAAGGCATATGACACTTTATGGAGGGAGGGACTGTTAATTAAGTTAAATAAAATCGTAATGGGGGGAGAATGTATGATTGGATATTATATTTATTGTTTGAGCGTTCATTCCAGGTAAGAATAGGGGAAGAAATGTCAGATCTCCTGAATGGGGTTCCACAAGGACGTGTAATCGGTCCTATGTTATTTAATGTAATGATGTGAACGAGTTGAACCAAGCATTGGGAAGGCATTATATGCAGATGATGGTGCAGTCTGGAGAAGAGGTGGGACTTTAGGAAGTGTAGTTAGAGGAATACAAGAATCAATACATGGAGCTGAAAGGTGGTCAGAAGTTTTCAGCGTCAAAGACTCAATATATGGGTTTCACACAGAACAAGGAACAGATTACCCTGAAATGATATGAGCAATTGTTAGAAAGAGTGACAGAGTTCAAATATCTTGAACAATTAACTTGGAAGAGACATATTAAGAAAATTGAGAACAAATGCAAATGAGTAATACATTGCATGACTTCAATAGCCAAGTATGAATGGGGAGCAAGGAAAAGTGCAATTAATACGGTCTAGTGTAGACTATGGGTGTGCAGTGCTGAATTAAAGGAACTGGACAACATACAGTCCAGAGCACTTAGAGTCTGCTGTGGAGCAATAAGATCAACTCCTCTAGATGATATACGGCTCTCGCGTTTTCTCGTGTTCCGCGTGTATTTGGACCCTTTCCGCTTTCCGTCACGCACTGCTTAGCCCCGCCCACATGTATGTACGTAACGCGTGCGTGCTGCGCTCCGCACAGAATCCACACAAGCGCAGATATGGCGGATCTCTCTCTGGACGAAGTGATTCGTCGACGCAGTTTTAACGCTAGAGGAGTCAGTAAGAGGTACATCTGTTCAGACTCTTCGAACGGCGTTCATTTAAACCGCCGGGGCGTTTTAGCGTTATTCTGTCGTTATACACGCAGTCGTGTAGGTCCTGGTGCTGAGCGTGATGTCCCGCCTGCTCTCGCCGCTGATTGGTTAATACGCCTTCTCTCGCCTTCTCATTGGCTGACGCGCGTGACTCGTGGCGTCCTGCGCGTTTCTGTTCGCGGCTGCTTTTACAAACAAACCTCGTACATTACATTCCTTTAATTTCTGCCTATCTTTCACATTAACTACAGAAACTAGAGCGCGTTTGTTATTAGCACGCGAGTTCCCTCAGTGACTGATCGATGTATCGACCGATATCCGAGAGATTACAAGTGCTTTTGATTCAGAGAAAATCAGATGCTTGCACTGTAAATATATATATATATATATATATATATATATATATATATACATACATGTAATGTACAATGCAGTTTTTCACCGTATATAGTATGGGTATGTATGCATCTATACGAGTATAAAGGATTCGAGTTCTGTTGGTCATTGGTTTGTAACTCTGCTGTTGTCCCTCCCACAGGCCCATATATGGCAGAGGGGCGGGGCCAGTGGGCAGGGCCTTCGATGCCCGTCAGATGATTGGCAGCGGTGATGTCAGACAGTGGCTGGGAGTGGGCGGAGCTACAGGAGGTAAGCACCCTGCAATTGGCGCTAGCTCTGGTTTACTCTGGGTTCTGTCGCGTTGTTCATCACTCTGTCCGTGCAGCGTTTCAGGTGAAGGACGCGCGAGAGAAGCTGGGGCAGAAGGACGCTCGGTTCCGGATCCAGGGGCGAGGGGGCGGAGCCGGAGCCGTACAGGACGCGCGGCAGCTGCTAAACTCACGCAAACAGCAGCAGGCTCCGCCTCCGA